CCCTTCTTCCTGGATCTGCACTTAACTAACGAACAGATAATGTTTTTGACGGAATCGGCGATATTCTCGGCGGTCACGTCCCGGCGCACGAGCGTCGACCAGTCGTCCTGATGTACGCCGAGGGGCACGTCGTGTATCTTTGCGGGCAAATCAAACTGTCCGGCGGCCGCACCGCCCGTACATATGATGGGTACAACGATGTTGTCGTTCCACATGAACTCCTCGGCGATGCGGGCGGTTCTCGGGCCGCCTTCGATGATAATGCAGTAGTTGAAGAGTCGGGCGACCACTGAATCCCTTTCCTTGAATGAGTCGCCGATGAAGAGGGTGTGACCGAAGGGCAGGTTCTGGAACGTGCCGTCAGGGTTTTGACGCGCTTTCATCGATTGGTCCTATAATTGGTTCACAAATGGTTTCAATTGACGGCAAATAATTGAGACATTTTGGGAATACCTTTGAGACATAACGAGGAAGAATGTGGTAGAGATTTGCCGGCTTCTCCTTCAACAGTAGTTCCCTTTCTTCACAGAAACTCCTTCCTGTAGTCTCTGCCACTCCATAGACACCACCTGTTGACCAATCATTTGATAGAATAATTAGCTGACGCTTAAGACATACACAGTTTATGTGAATAATATACCTGTGATTAAGACCACGAACGGAATGCTGGCCAACGACTGGCCAATGGCTCGACAAATGGCTTCAGAGAGTGGACTGAAGAACTTGGAACTGCCGGCCACGTAGACCAACACCTTCTTCTTCTCGTGAATGGGCGGCAACTGTCGGCTCACATAAGAGGCCAACGAATGGATGCGCGCCTCAGACATCGCGCACTTGAATGAGTCCTTCGAGGACTTCGACAGTTTGGCCGCCTTTTGGTGCAGTTGTGAGAGGAAAGAGTCGACATCACAGGCGTTGTGCTCCAGCATCTCGTCGTCGTCGAACAGCTTCGACAGCCAATGAGGTGTCCGGAAGTCCTCGTATTTGATGGGAATGACACGCTTCCGGATATCACAATAAAACGCCTGTTGTTTGCAGGTTCTGGAGTCGCAGTAGGCTTTCGACAACACTATTATCACAATACAGGCGCCGTCGGCACGATCTCGGAAGCTGTGGGCTTTGTCTAAGTCTTCGGGCGATAGGATACACGTCTGACTACTGCCGAAGTAGTCCTGAGAACATTGCGGAAAGTTATGCATGGGTTCGGTGACACTGAGCGAAAAGCCGAGTTTATGGCGTTGGAAGAGTCCCTTCTTGTGGTGAAGGGGTGTGTCGTGATTTTGGGACAGATTTAGTGATTCTTGAGACTCTTCCGAGAACTGACTGTTCCCGATATATACAGTCTGGTCGGACATCTGATCCGAATCTGTTTCTATTCGCTGACTATTCACCCATTGGCCGACCGACTCATTTGACGGCGTGACCACAGGGGTGTCGGCACTGCCTGTAGAGTAGGTGCCGATCGACATATCGGTAGAACACCAGACGTCGAATCCATATTTGTTCAGTTCTTGGCGTATGAGTGACGAGAACTCCTTCTGCGACGGATGACAAGAGATCACTATATTTGGGCGCTTCTGCTTCTGCTTGTAGTGTCCCATCGATAGCAGCGAATTGGGTCGCATCGGGAGCTCAGGCGTAATGAATTGCAAATTGGGCGCAGCGTCCGGTCCATCGATGGGAGGGTTCGGTATTTGTACGATTTGAGTCGTCAGCTTCTCCTTCTCAATGTTGGCGTTCCTCATGTGCTCTGCAATGGCTGTGGCAGTGGTCCTCACGTATGGCTGATCCCAGAACCTGATATCCCGGGCCCGTTCTCCCTCTCCCTTTGCATGGCTCTTCTCGATATCAATTGGTGTCTTCCATGGGATGTATTGCGTGGAAGCGAACTGAATGGCCAGACATTCGGGAGGCCTTTAAATGATATAAAAATCAAATTAATTTCTAAATATAATCAATGCAATGGTCTGTATGTGCGATGACTGACCAACTGTCCAAAAAGCTGATGGGAATGATCTGCTTTTTCTTAATGTCAGCCAACTTCACCTCACGATTAGTCCATTGGGTGTACCCATAGTTAGGAGTAATCAATGGCACGAATAGTTCGCAATTAAGGACTGCGTTATTGAGAGCGTCGGCCCAATCGTGTCCGCCCTCTATCTCATCCACATCTAAGAAGACATTACATCCCAAGTCTTGTAACTCACTCTTGAGTTGTCGGGCGTGTTGTTCGGCCTCCGCTCTCACATAACTTATAAGAATTGGTTTGATCTCAACGACCAAAGGGTGGTATACAGTGGCCGCTGACGAGGGGGCGGGGGTTATGATCTGGTCCAACAATTTTGGGTCAATAATTTGGTTTCCCACGGGAATCAATGGCATTATGTTATGCGAACTGTCCTCCGAGTGCATCATCGTCTTAGTTATGTCGAGGGTTACGGTCGACGTCTCGGACGGCCTCTTCTTTTTGCGGACGGGACTGTCGATGACATCCATAGTGTGGGATATATCCTGCATATCATTATCTAACTCCTGCCTAACTCCCGATACCCTGAATATGCCGTTAATCATAAGATCCCAGCCCTTCACTACAGACTCCTGTTTTAGGCTAACAGGCCAACCGTTCCTATCGATGAGCTGATAGGAGGTGTCGTTATCATTGAGACTCAACTCTTGAGTAATCATTTGTCTGATCTCTTTCCCCGAGTTCTCCATTTCGGCGAATATGAAGCCCAAAGATAGGCCGGACGTCGACTCGACTCCAAACCTCTGTTTATCTGTTTTGTGTCAAACATTTAGACATAAAAACTTGTTATTCATTTGTCAGTTATTTCCCATAGTATTGCAAATGTGTCTACAGTTCTGCAAATTCTGTGTAATATTGCATGCATTTGAAGGGCATTTAAGTGCATAACTATTATTCATATTAAAAACTATTCAAACATTTTTGAAACATTTGTTTTGAAAACATCTCTTATTTCAAGAGCTCTTCTCTCACTCTTGAATGAGTCAAACAAATACTAATCAATGATAATACAAATACATATCAATGATATGTTTGGACAGTATTTCAACGAAAACATGCCATTCATTACCGAAATGTCTGCGAATCATAACCATCGAGTGGTCCGTATTGATCACGTAATAGAGGTTGAGGTTAGCCTCTTGTATGGATGAGACGGGCCATCTAGAAGTGCCATAACAATCATGTTATCATCCGTTTTAATACAATCAAAAGTTTTTCAATTAATGTATAGATAGGAAAAGGTGATCACAAGTGCATGCGATCACAAAGTGCAATATAGCTGTAGATCTACTCTAATCTCTTACACAATGACTTGATATGAGGTATAAATGAAATGATTATCTCTAATGAATAGACAATACATAATAGACTTAAGTATTGCACAAAATAATGGTAAGACTGGAGACACGGGTATCACTTAAAGTCTAAAGATATTACGTAATCTTAAGTTTAAAAAACTTTTTATAGGAGACATTTAAAAAAGTGAAAACTATTTTTAAAAACAAAAATGTATTTAAAGTTTTGATTTAACAGATTAACCATAAAAGTAAGACATGAGACATAAGGTTAGGTATAATAAGACAATGGATGTGACGAACCCTTCTTTGGACAAAAAGATGTAGTCTTTGGGCAACGAAGAGATCTGTTGTGACATTAAGTGCCGAAAGTCACACAACTTCACCGATAGTGAGCTCAACGCCACGAATCCCAAGACATCACCGCTTGGATGTGTTATACAAACACTGCGACCGCTATTATTACTATTCATGACATTATTATTAATGTTATTATGATTACTGTTATTATGATTACTAAATGTATCGTTCATTTGGTGCCAATTGAGCACATCGTTCACTAGTTTAATGGCAACTAAACTTAATTCAGTTTTTT